ATTACTCGGCGTTGCAGTATTAGGGAAAAGTCTGTAGCGGAATATAGTAACGCCCCAGCATGCAATACGGGAACGGCCCGGCCAGGGTCCACTCTCCTTTTCACCATCTGACCACGTTGGACCGCGTTGGACTCGGCGATCCACCCAAGCTAAACGGGACCAAATCTTAACACTGATTGAGACTGAAATGCATCAAGAGCCTACCATCACGTGACTGTCTCGGAACTCGGCGCTTAGCGCGCTTTTCATGACGCACACATGACGGCGTGGCCAGACAAGATCGAAGACACGGGTCAGCTCACTCCCTGCTGTCTGCAAGCGAGCGCCGAACGCCTGGCATGCCCGGCTCGGCATGCCGAGCTCGCCGGGCACGCACTGTAGTCACGCCGCCACGGCACGCGGTATGCGGGCGTGTCTGTTTATATTGGCGCAGAAGAATGGACCCGTGCTACACTCAACGGGAGCAGCTCGTGTAGAAGCTCAAAGTCAAGGTCAGGTCAGGCACTCACCGGCCCCTCTCTAACACGAGGATGGATTATTCGCATGAAGAGGGCGATCCTGCGTCAGAATACTGACAGCAAAAGTGAAAGGAAGGATGACATACTCCAATGCTAAGGTCGAGGGTACCCCCAAACCGAGCTTGCTGAGTCTCAGGCTGCGTTAAGCCTGCATCAATGCTGCGTCGGACATGCAACAAGGAATTCACAATCGCCGGAACGTATGCACACGTAGGGTGTCTGTCGCAGACACATTACTCGAGTTTGCGCCCAGTCTTGCGCAGCACCGTCGTATGCGTCATCTTGGCTTGTGAATGGGCGACAACTCATATATGACTAGTCCGAGAACAAAATGTCCGCCCAGAAGTTCTATCCATCGGACCACAAGGCATAGTGTCCTTTAGTCCGCGTCCGAAACGCACCAAGGTGAACACCTGCTCATTTGTAGGACGTGCAAGTGGTATCAGGCGACACCAATTCGCAGCCATGTCTCTGGCTAGTGGAAAGTGGAGGGCCCAGCTTGGTCCAGAATGTGGATACGTAACGAGGCAAGGCGCAGCATTCATCTCGGGAAGCAGAACATGAATGCGATATTGGCCTCGCCAGCGCATCGGGCAGTCCTCTAGGGATGTCCGACGGCCGACGGTGAGACCAATCGAGAGAGGATACAATGCGTCATGGTCTACTTTAGACCCGGCGCAGTGGTGCTAGGCATCCTTCTCAAGCAATTCAGTGCTTCAACGCCCAGACCCCAAAGTAGTGGTACTGGTTCAGCCGTCGCCCAAAACTGCTGACTAGCGGTGACGCCGAGCTGTTTCGTTCTGCGAGTTTTCTGCTCGATCGAGTTGTGAGAACCACTGAGATTTCTTGTTAGGTCAGGATTGAGCCAGGAAGCATCCAGGACGCATCTGCAACGAGGTCTTTGCTCTACGTGAAAAAGATGAGGGAGGGATGGACCTGTCCAGTGGTACCTTTTCCGGATGTGCGCCAGGGACAGCACTTCTGACGCATGTTTTACGTTAACACTAGTCGAGTGTGCCCTTCACCGCTACCCAGGACTTCCACCTCAGGACGGTCGTCAAGGGCGATGCAAATTACACCGACATGCAGCGCAGCGGCGACGGGGCTCTGGGGCGCTCTGGGGCAACGGGGCAGCGGCCATGCGCTCGACGCCGTTGCTGTGAAGCCAGTGAACGTTGAGCATGAGCATGAGTATGAGCGCGTTTAGCATCCCATGCGCAAACCCAGTCCAGCGCCGAGAAGCTCTAAACACGACAGGCGCGGGGCTCTCCAGACTTCTGGCGAAGAAGAGCCTCAAGGACATGACTCAGAGGGCGGCGTCAGCCTTCAGTACAGCGCAAGCGAGCTAGCAAGGCGCCTCCTGTATCTGTCTGCTCGCTACCTGGCAACCCATGCAAGTGGATCTCGAGACGAAACGAATCCTGCAGCAGAGGCGTTCGGATCTGTAGCAGGCTGATACGCAGATCTGGGCGCTGACACTGGTATTCCTGGGCCAAGCCTGGCAAGCCATCAGCCACGGTCTCGCACCCGGCGAACCGGTGGACCCGACACCGAACCGAGAAACTGGGAACTGGGCTGGTTGGGCTACCTGGGCTATCTGGGCTTGACGGAGGGCGTTTACGGAGGCGCATCCGAATGCCGAGGGGCCCGGGTGTGTCACCTCGCTCTGACAGCATTTGTCTCGCTCTAGCGTTCTTGCTCGCTTGCGCTTTGCTTCCATGGAACGTCGTCTCCTTTCACTCCCTTCCTTTTCTGCGCACCTATGCCCTGTACGCCCCAGTCCAGGACAACGACCAGGAAAGCTGCCAGGACAGCGGCGTCAGTGACTTCTCGGGTGAAATGGGCATAGCAGCGGTGACAGCAGGTGACAGCAGCATAGCACTGTGAGAAAGAGCAAGGATCCTTCCCAGGACCTGCTTGCACCCCTTTAGGCAGTGTCAAGCACTGCGGTGACCGCCGCGGCCACCGGTGCCGTCATCACAGCAGAAATGCAGGGCTGGGACGACAGGCCACGACAGGGAATGTCTTCCCCAAGATTATGGGACCAAAATGTGGACCCTCTACAAGTCAGGAGTTGCTCCACCCAAACGGGCCCGGGTCGCATTCGAACCCACCCAACCCGTCGGACACAACTGTCGCTCCAAACGGGCAGAAAACGACAGGATAGCATTGATCAGAGGGTAGACGATCGTCCTACTGACAGGCTGTCCAGTCACGGCCTTGGAGACAGATTGCGCGTGCGTACGTCTGGACGCCTGAGTGATCGCTTCGAAGACCTTGTTCAATGGCCGCTGCCTTGCTCGGTAACGAACGAAGGCTTGCATGCAAGGTCACCGGATGCAGCTGCAGCGAGACTAGTTGGGGGTCGCAAACATTGTCCAAGATGCATTGCGGATGTCTAGTAACAAAGAAAAATATCCATTATGCCCCGCCCGCTTGCACCGGTGCGCGCCTGCGCGGGGGAGAGGGCGGAGCTACATATGGCTATGCCCCTGCTAGAGGCAGCCGTTGATTCCCGAAAAGGAGAGGTTCGTTGACGTCGCTTTGTGGTGGGAGCGATGTATTGCTACATGATGTTTGACGTGAGGTCGATTATAAAAGAGAAATGGCCCCTGAGCCGTGTGGGCTGGAGGGGATGGCGAAGAGTGTTTTTGTTTCGAAAAGGTCTATGAGGGTTTGAGATGTCACTACCGGAGTGGACGAGGCGCTTAGGCAGCAACGCACTCGGTGGCGGCCGAGTTGGGCTTGAAGCCGGGCTTGCACTTGACAACCTCGCAGGCGCCGACCTTGCAGCGGACGTCGACGGCGTTGGCAATGTCGTTGCAGTTCTGACCCTTGCCGGCGCAGCCACCACAGAACTCGGCGTCGTTGAGGGTGTCGACACACTCAACGCCAGCGGAGCCAAACTCGCCAGGGATCATGCAAGCCTTGAGGTCGGAGGGGCAGTGGTGGCGGTCGAAGTCGGTGCGGTCAAAGACGGTCTCGATGCTCTCGTCACGGAGCTGGAGCTCAGTGAGGCCAGTCAGGGCCGAGATGTCGCGACGCCAGCGCCAGTGGTTCTTGGTGTTGTCCTGCTTCTTGGGGATACCAGAGGGCTGGGGGCCGGTAGGCTTGCAGCAGTGCGTGTTCCAGTCCCACTGGTAGCCGGGCGGGCAGCGGATCTCGCATCCACCAGTCTGGGGAAGACACTTGCCCTCCTTGCTCAGGTAGAAGTTCTCGGGGCACTTCTTCTCCTCGCAACGCTTGCACTGGTTGTCACCCCAGTTGTTGGCGCAGCAGCGCTTGCCCTCGACCCACCAGAACTCGTCGTCACGGCAAGGGTGCTCGGAGCGCTTCTGGATGCAACGGCCCTGGCGACCGAGACCCTCGAAGATGTAACCCGGGGGGCACGTGCAGCGCTGGTTGTTCTGCTTAGGCAGACAGCAGCTGGCAGAGCCGTGCCACCACCAGCCCTGGGGGCACTGGGTCTGACGGGGAGGACTGAGACACAAGTCAGTTTCTGAGAGACGGGAAGGGGGGAGGGGTCGATCGAGTATCACTCACGAGCCACAGGTGCGCTGCGAAGAGCAGAGCTGCTGGTTGTTACCCCAGCACCAGAAACCACGGCTGCAGTCGTTCTGAGGGCGGTTCTGGGGGCGGAGACAGTCCCAGAGACCACCTCCGGATCCCCACTTCTGGAAGAGTCCGAAAGTAGCCTCGGCCTGGCTGGCGGCGAGGAGGGCGGTGACAGCGGCGGTCTGGAAGAGCATCTTGGTGTTGTGTTTGTCGGTAAAGAGTGAAAGACGAGTGGGTTACTTGAGGGGAGCCCTAGCGAAGCAGTCGAGGCTGGCGTTCACTGAAGGGGGAGAATACAGGGGATAACACGAGGGTAGAGAGAGGAGAGGTAGTGTTGTGGTGAAGAACCATTCGAACAGACCCACCCCCTCTCTCTTTATAACTCGCGAGAGCCAGGTCTGATCGGAATGTCGTCGCAAAGGCGCAAGGACGCAAGGACAGCTCTTGTCAGAGCACATGTGCTTTGCGCCGCTGTGCACAGGGCTCTTCCTCCTTGCCGAGCAAGCATGCTCTGCGACTTGATCTTACGTAGCACTCCCCCGTACGTTTGTGGAAGGCTGAAGGGTTCGCCCGCGTACCTGCAAACTCTATGGGTCGCGAAGGGCCCACTACGATTCTCCCGTGCTGATGACATGTAACGCCACACCCTGTCTGCGCTGCCCCGCCTGCTGCCCGGGCCATGGTCTCGCTCTCTCACCTCCCCTGTGCAGAATCATTTGTGTGCTGTCCACCGTTGAAACATGGGAGATCGAGCTGGGGGACAACTCCTGACCTCTCCTGGCGCCAGGGCACTGCCCAGGGACGGTCATACAACCACAGGGCTGTCGTGAGGTGGGGTTCATGGGCCGGTTCCGGCTTGTCCCAAGGATGCCCTGTGCAGACGCCAGCACTGCAGCCAGCAGCGCTTGCACAGTCACCTCCTCCTGAGCGCCTGCCAGCATCAATTGTCTCTGATGCGCACTACTGCCAGCCCAGGGGATAGTGGAAAGGCACGAAACTCCGTAAACTTGTTTCGTTTCGGCCCAGCAGGATTACAGTTTAGATCATTCGCGTCCTCTCCTGCGCTGATTACCCAACAGAGAAGGGGGGAGAGGGGACCGGGGAGCCGCTTCTCTCGAGAGCATGGAGCGTGAGTCTGAGTCTGATTTCTGGGTTTATCGGAGGATCCTGATCCTGGGTCCGCCGATGTGGCCGAGCAAGCATAGCAGCAGAACACGTTGATACCGCGCGTATCGTGTACCTGTACCTGGGAGTACCTGGGCGGGCGTCGCGACTGCACGCAGGCGTGCAGGTTACATAGGGTCGGTGCGCTAAGTACAACACGGGACCACCCCCTCGACAAAAAATAGCCATCGCTAAGACCGGGAGCGTTCTAACGACCGTGTCCCCCGAGTCCAGCACGGCCAGCGAACCACAAGCCTCACAGCACACCTCAAGGGCACGCCCAGGGTCCCCGTCCACCGCCGTGCATTCTTTCATTATCGTCCCAGTCGCCCGTTGGCTTGTCATTACGCCTGCCGCGCGCATACCGGGCACAATGTGGAGCTGCTGGCGCTGCAATTTGGGAAGCGCTCGTTGGAATGCGCCACCGCCCCTTTTCGGATCTCCTCTTGCCCGGTCACGAGCCATCCATTGTGCTTGCCGCCCAGAAAACTCTTGGCTGACTTTTAGCTGAAGGATTATTGATCTGGACCACCGTGACATTTCTGTATAGCTATTAGCGTAGGTCAAGAATTTCCGCCGTCCGTCGCAGCCGCAACACGGAAGACAAACTGCCTAAACCTCCGCGTCCGTGAAGGCCCGCCGGACGCACCGGCTGACTACTCCTATTGCCCTCGAGCTTGATGCTTGTCGCGCTTGTGCTGGACAGTGTTTTCGATTACAAAGGCGTCGGGGGTATATTGACTCTCTATGAGCGTGCGACGGCACCGACGGACTGTGTGGTAGGCTCTGGTGCCGTTATGATGCTCCGCCAGTAGAGCAGATATGTAGCAAGAAAAGGTTTTCCTGCTGCCGAGCGCAGCCGCCTGCGGGGGTGAAGGGAGGCAGGTGAGGGTGTCTCACTCCAATCCCACTCTTACCACTGATTTCGATCCCAATGTCCCAGCATCCCATCATCCCAGTCCCGCGTTAAGGGTGTGCTCCCAACCCCCTTCCACCCCTCGCATTCCCCTCCTGCACCAGCAAGTGGTGCCAGTACTGCCATGAACGGAACGTGCCTCGACTTTGGTTGTGCCTGAACCCTAATCACGCTCAATGGTTTGGTGCCGTAACCAGCACCCAACTGACAGGACGCGTGAGGAGCAGACGAGCACCTGTTCTCGCATCTGGTGCTAGTTCTCGTTCGAAACCATTTGCAACCTTCTCGCAGAGGGTTCAGCTGGCCCCCGACCCCCTGCTTGCTCCTGGGTACCCCTCGTAGGGGTCGGATTCTGACGAGAACAGCAAGCCGAGCAAGCCCAAGAGATCGATGCGAGGCGCACTCTGCTCCGTTGGAAAAGGCTTCGGATTCGACGATCGAGAACAAAGGAAAACGCCAGGAAACGTCCGAAGAAGGAGGAACAAATGGCACGCTTGTGTAGCGCTGTCGCACCCTGCCTCCTTGTCTCGGTGCACGGGGCGCCCGGTGCTGCGTCCTGCAGGCTGCAGCATGGCTGTCAGTAGGCGCTGATGTAAGCCAAGGGGCTCAAGGGGCATGGTGTAAGCCACCCGGGCAAACCATTGTAGGAGTGGACCCTGCAGATCGACGTCCGGTGTGGCGTCGCCGAGCCGAGGGAGAGCTCCTGTGGGGCCTGGGCTGGCCTCACAACCAGTATTCCACGGCACAGACCGAACCCGAGTTGGAGAGCTCCGGGTTGTCAGAGTGGAGTGCGTACAACTGCCCATCGCCGACTTTTGCTCGTTAATGGTTGTCCAATTGTGCGAACGCGCTACGCTCAGACAGATCCAGCACCAAACAATTGGTCTCAGTGCGCCTCCCCCTCTCGCACTCGTCGCTCGCCCCCTCTACGGTGACTGACCACACCACCAACTGCATGGGGCTGGCAACGAAGACTCCTGCATGAGAGAGTGGAGCTTGCAAGCCCGTTCAGGCCGTTCAGGCCCATTACGGGCGAGTGTGGCATGCCCGCCAGTCTGTCGTCCACAGACAAACATCCCCGGTGGACCTGGAAACCTTGAACTCCGAGATGCCGTTTACTCTCGCGCGCCATCGTACTCCCCTTTCTGGTCAGCACGGCATGTGGGAACAAGCTCTGTGTAAGCTCGGTGGCTTCGCCGACCCACCGGCCCCATAACCTCATTGCGGTGCACATTCTCTCGCTCGCGTCGTGAAGTCCGGAATGCTGCCGAGATGCGCCGCTCTTCCGGCACAAGCAGCGTCGCACAAGCATCTTTGCGTCCGACACTGGCCCCAAAGCTCCGGCATACCGACGGCAACTGAGCCAGGTCGGTACACCGAGCTTCATTATGGAAGCAAAGCAGGATTGCAGCGTTACATCCTTCTCCTGCCCTACTGGTGCGACGGGTCTGCTCTGCTCCGTCCCGTCTGCCACTCGTCGTACGTCCGTTCCAACCACCACATCAGGCAACCCCACTACGGACCCGCACCTGTGGATCTCCGTCGCACCACCTTCACGGGAAGCATGCACTGCACTGGATTGCGCTTCCGTAGCATCTGCACGTTTCCGCGGGGACACGCACGCCAATACGCACGTCCACAACGCCGTAATCAATATCAACACCGACGTTCCACCCCTTCGGTCGCATTCTGTGTGGGTGCTGGGGTGTGCATGAGGGTAGCAGCAAGGGGGAGACGCTAATTAATGAATCGTTTCGGAATACACTACCCCCAATCAAGAGGGGGTTAGTGCAAGGAGAAGAACTTCATGGGGAGGGGCTGACCTCGTTCCGCTACATTATCGATTACTGGGGTTGCTTCCTTCATCTTTGTTTCTGCTTCTGAAGAGTTTACTGCTTCTTCTGTCATCTTGTTGTAGGTGTCTGCCAGTGGGCAGGTGGAGGAAATGCCGCAACGGCAAACATTGCCCACACAACATGGGGCTGAGGCTGGCAATGAACTCGGCTTCGCTTCCGACCTCGCTCGAAGCTCTGTCGTCTTGAACATGAGGCAGTTGCCGTTGCCGCGCGGTTACCTTAGTCGCCGTGTCAGTATGAGCGTGCCTCGTCGCCATACACCTCGCCGAGACAATGAGACAGCCGCATGTCCATGTCCTCGGCCGTAGGCCCGTGACACTGCCACCTCCGCCACCACAAGTTCGCAACAGGTACGCCGAGCTAATGTGGACGTCGGCGGTGTGTGCGTCGTGGCGCCGTGGCTGTCTGGCGCTGCCTGATGCAAGCCTTGCGTCACTTTAGCTCTACGCTCGGTCCCGTTGCCTCAACACGCATCAGCAGGCATCGGCATGCACCTCTTGGTGTGTCCCAGTGAAGCTTGCACCGACGTGCGTAAGGCTTGTGCGGCGCCTCGTGTCCAGTTGTCGTGGCGATACTAGCGAGACTGCAACGCTGATCTGAATGCGCAGCATTGGATCGACGTGCTGCGCTCGGAGTATATCACACGGGACGTCGGTACGATATGCTCAGTGCCTTCGGAACAACCGGGAGACGACACCCGTAGCACGCCGGACATTGCGACGCGCTCGACCACTTGCTCGACCACTTGCTCGACCACAACGGGCAGCGCGGCGGTGTCGTCTCGCAATACAAGGCGTTTGGTCGGCTGGACGGAAGGCGTGGCCACGTTGTCTCCTCGTTGTCTCCTCGTTGTCGCCTCGTTGCGTCCCGTCTGCATCAGACGCGTTGCAGGGCTTCCCGAAGCCACGCTGGGCCAGCGGAAGAAGCTCAACATGTGCGAGGCAGTCGTCGAGAAGCATACACTCGAAGCTCTGCTGCGTCCCTAGCATTTCGGGACAGAGCCGGCCATGAAGTTTGTCTTTCTCGATGAGAGGCAGGATTCACATGCTCCAGAATAGCCAGTGCGGCTTCAACGCGGACGAAAGATAAAGGATAAGTGTGTTAGACGTGCACGAGGTTGAGGAAGGTTGCCCTGTATTCCGGAGAACCACTGTTACACACATCGTTTCGAGCCTGGATCCATCCTGGGTTGAGTCCAGAGTTCGACGGCGGATGTTTGGTTTCGCTCGCCGCTGGAAACAATTCATCCTGTGCACGTTTTGGGCTTCTGGCAGCTCTGGACTTTGCAGAAGTGGAGGGACCGGGGGGGAATGGGGAAGATGGTAAAGGGCAGCCTCGGGAGACCAAGGGACACCCGAAGCCCAAAGGCGGGGAACTTTCGTTGGAAGATCGTCTGGAATCAGCACCCGCGCACCGCCAACACGAACTCCGCGAATCACGGTACGGCTGTTTCGCGCGCAGAACACGGTTAGCTCGAAACCTTGTTCTCTGCGTGGTGCCATGCTGAGGCGTCACTGCTTCAGGTCTAGTTCTGCCTGCTATGCCGTACGATGCCAGTAACGAAACGTGCAAATCTACACACGAAGACATAACATGCGAACATTATACGTTATCCCGAACCTACGAACTCGCCCCGAGCAGAGGCACAGAGGTATACACCTCCTGAGACAAAGACATGGAGACAGCACAGAGACCAAAAACATAACGATTCAGACGACAGGCGATAGGGTATACCATTCCTCATCCCCACCACTCTCAACTCTCAGCCCTCGCTCACGGGTCGCACCGGAAGCCTGTTGTGCTCGCCCAGAGCTTGCTACGCGTCGTCGGCGGACACACGTGGACGACCGCGACGGTCAACGGGCAACGGGCGAAAGCCGCGCGGCGACGCGCGGCTGACAGACTCGAACTCTACTGGCCCGTTCGAGCCTAAGGTGCCGGCTCGCCAAGGCTCTTCCAGTCGATGCCCCCATCGGCGCCGTAACGCTCCTGCAGCCACGCGTTGCTCTTGACGAAGTGACCGTTGCCGAAGAAGCCACGGCTGGCGGAGAGGGGGCTCGGGTGGGCGGACTTGAGCACGAGGTGTCGTTTCTACCTGTCAGTATGCTCTTCAGAGGCACCGGGCGTTCCGTGTTCCGGAGTGTTTCCGAGGTGCGACGCTGATCGCCCCGGTCTGTTCGCTGCGGCCACTCACCGTGTCGAGGCCGGCGATCATCTTCTGCGCATGCGCGCCCCAGGCCATGAGCACGATACCGTTCGCGCTGCTGCCGGGAGCGTCGGCAGTAGCTGTCACGGCAACACCCGAGGCAGAGCCCGCAAGCCGGCTCGTCACGACCTTCATCACCGCAGCGGTGAACTGCTCCCAGCCCTTGCCGGCGTGTGACCCAGCCTGTTCTCGTCAGCGTCCTGTCAGATGTGCAGATGATGACACTGGTGTGCTGTGAACTTTGCGCTTCATCGCTGCCCGCTGCGGGCGGCGGTAAGCCAATTGCCCGCAAGGCTGGCAGGCGAGTTGTGTGAGCGTGGGGAGGGGGGCTGGAGGTAACGTTGCTTCACGTCTTGTTGCGCCATCGCCAGTGGCACATGACTGCACCCCTCCCCATAAGCTGTAAACAGGCGATAACGCAGAGTTGCGAGTGCTGTCGCCACCTCTCTCCTTTGCACATACCTCAGATGCTCGCACAGTGAGAGATGTGTTGAGCAGCAGGACGCCGTGCTTCGCCCACTCCGTAAGGTCTCTGCAGTCCGTTAGAGGAGTCACTTCTGCAACAGACAACCTCAGCCACATACCCATGCTTTGGGGCGACAAAGCCGGGGATCGCCGTCGTCATCTCCTTGTACATGTTGCGCAGAGACGGTGGAATCGCAACACCTCGCTTCACGGAGAAGGCCAAGCCCTACAGGTCAATGACTGCATTCGACAGTGAGGCGGCACGGCCGTCTTCACTCACATGAGCTTGTCCCGGGCCCTACTGGTCAGCTTACTCCGCAGCGACCGTGGATGGAACTCACGTGATACGGGTCTTGTCCGACAATGACAATCCTGACGTCCTTCAAGGGGCAGAAACGAGACCATGAGTAGATGTCCTCGGCTGAGAAAGGTCAGCACGTGCACGACCTACGGACTCACCTGGTGGGAAGACCTTCTTGCTGCTCTGTTCAGCCATGACGAACTTCTTCAGCTGAGAGGTCAGCACAACCAGGACACATCCGTACATTCAGGAAGTAGGGCTTCGTCAGCTCGTCCTGAAGAGCAAGAAGCCACTCCTCCTCCATTGTCTCCAGCTCGAGCTCCAGCAGAGGCAGCACAGTCGGGTGGCCCTCAAGAGCCTTGCGCAGCTCTTCACGACTCGTGGCCTTGGGGATCTTGATGCCCAGAGCTGTTGTCAGTTCATTACGGACAGAGTAACTGACTGGACGCAACCGGCTCATTGGCAATCTTGGCCTTCTTCGCCGGGCGTGGCGACGGCACCTCTTGGTTCAGGTCCTTAGCCTTCATGATGGCGTCCCTCGCTGCGTCGCTCAAAGCGCTCCCTGTCGCACGCGTACTGGACTTGGTCGCAGCCGCTCCAGCCGGCTTGAAGTACGATGCAATGGACTTGGGCGGCATGACTGTTGCTGATGAGTGTGTTGGGTCGGTGGTGATCAGAGCTCGACGCGTCTAGGTCATGTTCCAGTCGCGTCAACCGCGGTCGACCTCCACACTGATTTTCCTTTGCTTCCGGTGGCGACCGGTGGCGAGGGCCTGAGCGCCGACGCGTCATGTGACAGTGACAACCCCATCTCGGCAATCAGATTCGTCGGCCTATCTAGAGACTGATGTTCAAATGATTGCATGCGTCGCAGCAATGCAACGTACTGGAAGAGATGGGAATTTTGAAGTGGAGAGCAGCTGCCATTGTCACGACAAGGTTGTTACACAAGTGGGCCGATTGCATGCATTCCAACTTCTTAAACGATAAGCGGGTCCAATGTGGAGGCTCGGAAGGCGCGTCAGCGGGGACCCCACAATCCGATATCTAGGATTGCCCAATCGGGTATGTGGCACCACTGGCAGACGACCGCCGGCATCCAACCCCGCTTCTTCGGAACGAGTCACCCTCCTTCGTTTGTCTCCATCCATCCCCTCACAACCGCAACATGGCTCCCTCCCCGACCCCGAACGCGCCCCGTACGCTGGCAGAGCTTGTGGATCTGCTCAAAGATGACGAGATGGTCAAGGTGGCAGGTGAGTTAGCGCCGTTTGAAGTGCCAAATTCTGACCCCAGGCGTCGACGTGGACGGAGTTCTTCGCGGCAAGATCATGTCCAAGAGCAAGTTTCTTTCGGCTGTCGAGACTTCTTTCGGGTTCTGCGGAGTGGTATTCGCGTGGGACAGTGCGTGTCATCTCGAAAAACGACGAAAAACGATGCATTCGCGGCGTAGAAGTGGTCCGAGAAGTTGGTGGGCAGATCCGCGGATGGTGTCACTCCGCCGGGTGGAGTTGATCCGTCGGAACTGCCTAGTGCCAATCTCGATAAGGACATGACACTCGCTTAGTTTTTCGCTCGTCTCCGCTACGTCTGCTGACTTCCAGTGCACGATGCTACCTACCCGCGCGAGCTCTTGGTGTCGAACAAGAGCAACGGCTACCGTGATCTGAACGCCCAGATCGACTTGTCGACGTACCGCCAAATCCCGTGGGAAGACAACATCCCGTTCTTCCTGGTGTACTTCTACGACCAGGGAGACGACAAGCCGCTCCCTGTCGACCCCCGCAGTGCGCTTGCGAAGGTCACGGACGAGGCTAAGGCTATGGGATGGGACTGCATGACCGGCGCTGAGTTCGAGGTACGTGATGGCAGCCGTACTCGCGCTGACGCCCCAGTACTTTCAGTTTGCGGAGACCGCCCAGTCTGCCGAAGCAAAGAGCTTCGTGAACCTGACTCCCCTGACTCCGGGCAGTGCGTATCAGCTTCACCGTCCCCCTGCTAAAGCTGATCTCAGACCATGGATACTCGCTTCTGCGCACGACCCTGAACAAGGACTACTTCTACGATCTCTACAAGGTCTCGTCCAAGATGGGCGTCGAGATCGAGGGACACCGTGCGTTTTATCTGCCGTGTTGCACTGACCGTTTCAGATACCGAGACTGGACCTGGTGTGTTCGAGACCGCCCTGGCGTACACCGACGCGGGCCGTATGGCCGACAACGCGCTGCTCTTCAAGCTCATCGCGAAGAGCATGGGCATGAAGCACAACGTCCTGCCGTCGTTCATGGCTAAGCCATGGGAGAACGTAGGTACATGGGCCTCATATCTATCTAACAGACAGCTTTCCGGATGTTCCGGACACATCCACGTCTCGCTCCGCGACAAGGACGGCCGCAACATCTTCGGCCTGTCAAAGGAGGAGACTGCGGCCGGTGGGCGCAAGGATGCCAAGTGGAAGGACCTGCAGTACATTTCGCAGGAGGCGGAGTGGTTCCTCGCCGGACTGCTGGAGGGCCTTAAGGACGGTGAGTTGATGCGAGCGCGGACTCAACTGACCTCAGTCATCCCGCTCATGTGCCCGACGATTAACTCGTACAAGCGTCTGCTCGGCGGCGAGGTGAGTTTATCCCTTGAAGTGCTGAACTGACGGACAGCAATACTGGGCACCCGACACTGCGTCGTACGGGTACGACTCGCGCGCCGCGTCGATCCGCATCATCTCCGCTCCCGGCGTCAAGCCCTCTGCGACCCGCTTCGAGGTCCGCATCCCCGGCGCCGACGTGAGTAAACCTTTGAATCCAGATCCGTCGAACATGTCCAAGCTGACGTACAGATGAATACGCACTACGCTATCGCTGCGATTTACGCGCTCGGCCTGCGCGGCATCAAGAACAAGACGCCGCTGCCGTACGGCCCGATCGGCGCGCCGGGCGTCTCCCGTGACACGATCACGCACTTGCCCATCACGCTGGAGAGCGCGACCGAGGCGTTCATGGCCAAGGACAGCATTGCGCGCGAAGTGTTTGGCGACTTCTTCGTCGACCACTTCGGCGGCACCCGCGAGGTCGAGCTCGAGCAGTTCGCCCGCGCCGTCACTGACTGGGAGCGTGAGTTGTTTCATGGCGCTCGTTAACTGACATCGCAGTCCGGAGGTACCTCGAGCTGGCTTAGAGTGGAGCTCGGGCCTTGTGTTTCGTTTCTGTGTATTGTGCAGGAGAGTCGACGACGATGCTGAGAGATTGGGAGCTGTGTCAATAGACATTTACCTTTCGTATGTGACGGGTATACCATCTGAGCAGGAACGAAGGCGGAGGCCGAACATCGTGCAGACAGGTTTCGAGAGCATCACGAGGAGCCCCTGAGACCGAAGAAGATCCGAGAGTTTCAGATGCTTGGACCGTCTGCAGCGGCGAGTCCCGCGACGCTCGAAGGAGGTGACGGATTTGGAATTGCTAAACTGGGTAGCGATAGGAGGAACGCAAAGTGCTGCGCAGATGGTGAGTTACTGGAACCGGAGCACGCCGCGGTAGGAACGGCTGAACAAGCATTTCGCCAGAACCCGCCTTTGACACTGTTATGCAAACAGAGCGTCAGTGATGCTTCTGGTTCTGATCAACATGATCGATCATGAGTTTGACGTAGAAAGGAAATTACCGCCTTCGGCTCCGACTGTTTGAAATGGCAAGACTCTGACTCGGCGCCACTGTTGAAAGCCGCTGATTCTTGAGACACCGGTACCGCTCGTGTCCGACATGTTATCTTCTCCTACGCTTCATGCTTACGCAGCGCACGTTACGGGCCTAAAGGGGAGGTATGCATCGACTCAGTCTCTAAGTGCATAGCCGCCGCTTTAGATTTTGCAGTAGTTTGAAGGATTAACTGGGTGGCAAAAAGAGGGTGGGCCACAGGCAAAATCTCCGAAACGCCGCCATACTTAATGCGCAGGGCATGCCGCAGCTCATTGAGCGTCAGTTGATTACACCAGGTCGAACGCACCGACAACACCGCCAACTTCACCACTCAGCTCACCGCTCACCACCTCCTCTCCCCGCCTCTCCCGTCGAACCGACCACCACAAACCAACCGTACTAGAAAAGCCAACCTAGGGCACCGTTTGAATGAGCAGCAGTACGTTTCTCTAGCTCTTATCGTCTGCGGATCGCTGACATGGATCCCTCTCTTCGCCACTTGGCCGCCTTATCTATCCCGCACTCAATCGCTACGTGGCTGGTACCTTGACCTCCTCCGACCTCCACTGCCCACTGATCTTGACACCTTGGGCTCCATCGCTGTCTGTTCTTTCGCGATGTTGCGCTCGCTGTCACCTTTTTTGCCACCCGACCTGTACGCGTCGTCATTGTTATCGCTCGCCCACTCACACGATGACGTCTCGTGTTACAGCTACCAAGGAGACTTCGGCTAAGACCAAGAGCAAGGCCCCGGCGGTTTCTGCTGGGGCCATCAACCTCGGGGCGCCTTTCGGTGAGTCGTGCGCGGCGAGCCCGGCGCGGCGGGCTGCTATCTGGCAAGAGACAGCGTGGACACTAACGCTCAGACCCGTTCTCGTCTTCGGACCCCTTCGGCGATGACAAGCCCTCGATCGAGCGCAGCGTCGGCAAGACTGCTGACAAGATCCACATCCGTCTCCAGCAGCGTAACGGTCGCAAGACCATCACCACTGTCGCGGGCATCCCCGACAAGTACGACCCCCGCAAGCTCCTCAAGGCTATGAAGAAGGAGTTTGCGTGCAACGGACACGTCGTCCACTCTGCCGACTCGGACGAGGAGGACTCGCCCGCCCCCGGCAAGAAGGACGAGCACGGCAAGGTCCTCCAGTTCCAGGGCGACCAGCGTGCTTCCGTCAAGCAGTTCCTCGTCCAGTCTGGCCTGCTCACCGAGAAGGAGGCCAAGGACCAGATTGTCATGTGCGTAGAGCTGCTTATTGTACCAGGTCAAGCTAACGTCGCAGCCACGGTTACTAGACGCCTTATATTTCTCATGGCAAGCAACACCAACTACCTACACGTTTATGTGCAATCACATCACCAGCTCTGTTCCGGTTGTGTTTCTGTCCCCCTCCACCCATGCATTTGATTTGCTACGACGGCGATCGATCACGGCTATGGCTCGACTAACGACTCGATATTAGACGGACTGATGAATGAGCTACGAACGGAGCAGGGCAGGATGACCGATGCTGGATCTCTGACGTCAGCTGTCGATAACGCGTCGGTAGCTATCGGCAGGCTGTGCATCGATGAGCTCTTCTTGTCAGCTTTTCGCAGATCCTCCATCAGCTCACCCCGAGTACTGAACTGAGATCAGTTGGAATAGGAGGAGGACCAAGCAACTCACAACTCGCAGGTCCCTCATCTCTGCCGCCTCGACGACGGTCGTGAACCCCAACCTGCTGTCAGCTGTCAGCGTCAGAAGCACAGCTGACCAGGAGTATCTGTCTTCAGCTTCTTCGCAGCAGCGGCAGCTTACCGCAGGTATGAGCAGACGGACTGGGATCGGCTCGGTGTCGACGCGAGAAAGCTACCCGCCAGTCTGGGGTTAGCTCATGTCAGGGAACTGAAGCTAACAGGGGTAGGAAGAGGGACTGGGATCAGCTTGACAGCCCCGGGGCAAAGCCACTTGCTCGCCTGGCGTTAGCTGTGCAAACTAGCGCCAGCTGACCATCAAGTCGTCTGACTTTCCGCTCGATACTGTACAGTTTGCTTACCTTCGGAGTTGACGGGAAGCAGACCGGGGTGAGCTGATGACGCACAGGACGTACCGCTTATCTTACCGACGCTGGCCTGATTCAGCTTGATCCTAACGGAGAAAAAAGCTTACGCTGCTTGTACGGGCTGGAGTCAGCTGGCAACTCGTGTTGTTTAGCTCACTCGCCAAGGCATCGAATCGACGCGTGGCTAAACTCCGCTACGATCTTCTCCACTAAGAAGCTGACCTGCAGTGTGAGGCTGTGGCCAGCTGTGCAGCTACCTCTTCGGGGTCTGGGATTAGCTATTGGAACCCTTTCGAGAGCTTGCCGTTATCACTCATCGCGGGAGCTCACTGTTGGGGACCATGTCGTGGACTAGCATCAGTTTCAAAGGCAAGAAAACCCTCAACTGACCTGCTTGCAGCCTGGTCTCAGCTGTTACTTCCAGTGCTGAAGCTTACTCTACGCGAGCTAGGCTCGACTAAACGCTGAGGACTCGGAGGTTTACTGACGGGCCAAAAACTTCTGTGCCTGCCTGGGATCAGCTTCAGTCACGGCAGATCTCAAGCTTACTAGCAGCGCTGCAGCTGCGGGTGAGGCAGGCCGGTCCGGGGAAGGCTCCCGTTTCCAGCAGCAGCTTTGCAAATTCGAGGCTGGTTTCTGACGTCAGCTGTATGAATGCCGTACGGCTCGCTCTGCATGATTAGCTGAACCAGAGAATTTGGGCAGCTCACGACTGGCGGTGGCAGAAGTCTACGGCGCCCCTCATTGCGAGAGGGTTGCTGAGGCGGAAACTCATGTCAGCTTGTCAGCGTACAGCAGAAAGCTACCGTACATATGGCGTTCTGGGATCAGCTTCTGAGCGTTGTTCGTAGCAGAGCACATACATCAGAGTGGTGGGGAACAGAAGTCTCTACAGTCAGATGTGATGGGACGCAGCCTGCGCGAAAGTGTGGTGTGGCTGATGTCAGCTTCCGTCGGAGTACTCGAGCTCACCCCAACCGCTGTGGAGACGCCGAGGGTCAAGTCCTTCGGACGTTCTGGGCGCACCAGAGCAGTGTGCCGGCTCAACCCTGTCTGTAACAATGCATCGCACCTCGAGCTTAACCGGTCATCAGCTAGCGTGGAGTTCCTCAGCTTACCAGTCAGAGCAGCTGGGATCGGCGGCCCCGCGTACGTTGGCGGCTGTGGTTGGTTTTCCAGCATCCTTTATGCTCGCCGTCACCCGCCCCAAGGCGAACGCACATCTGATGTCAGCTAGCAAACCCGTTTCTTAAGCTCACTGGGCGCTGACAGCGAAGCAAGGCTGGAAAGGGATGAGTGGCTTCTCGCCAGTTATAGCCAGCTAGGACGACGGCGGCCAAGCCCACTGAAGCTGTCCACCAGCCACAGAGTCTACAATGAGCCGACGAACCGCTCTTGCGACATCACCACTCCAGCACGGACAACTGGCTCATCTCCAAGTATGGATTGATGCAGACACTGGCTGGAATCTGTTATCAGCTCCGGAGACTCTCGCAGAGCTCACTCTGCGATTGTCAGTGCTACTCACACTTGCCACTCAAGTTCAATGATCTGCTGCGTCGGGCCCTTGACCGCTCGCTCGCTGCGGTCCGACGCCGCCGACGTGAGTAA